CATCTGCTGCTTCTCCTCCATCCTCCTCCTGGAGGGTAGAAGGAGGATGGGGGGGGAAGGGGAAAAGGAAGAGGAAAAAGAGGCCCCCAACGAGATCCCCCCCCCCCCCCCCCCGGCTTTTTATGAGAAGGACTCCATCGCGTCTACCCTTTATTCGCCTCCCCGTCTCCCCCTCCTAACCATGCTTCCCATCCTCCGTGTCGTTCTCTCCATCCTCCTGTTCCTCCTCCTCCTCCTCCTCCTCCGCCGGCTCCTCCTTCTCCGCGCCCTCCTCGCCCCCCCCCTCGCTGCGAAACCGATCGCGTTCCGGAAGAGCCTTGCCGGAACACGGTCAGTAGGAGGCGCGAGTCTGCTGGACTCCTGGATCGGCGCCTCACCCTCCCGCTGCGGCCTCCGAGACCGAGTTCCCGAAATCCAATGCAATCGCGGAATCCCTGGAGCCGTTTTGGCACCCTTGCGGGCTCGCCTGAAACCTGGTGGAACCGTCGGGGGAGTGGTCTTGGAGCTCCGTCGGCGGTGTCTGCAGCCGGAGGCGCTGGATGCTGCCCTCCTCATCTTCCCCCTCCTCCTCCTCCTCCTCCTCCTCCTCCTCAGCTGCGTCGCGCTCCTCCTCCGCGTCGTCCTCCTCGCGCCCCCCTCGCCCCGATGCCGATCGCGTTCCGGAGGAGTCTTGCCGGAACGCGGTCGGCAAGGGCGCCATCGAAAGCGTTCCCGCGTTCCCGGAGGGGGGCAGGAGGAGGAGGGGGAGGAGGAGGGGGAGGGAGGAGGGGGAGGGGGAGGAGGAGAGGGAGGAGGATGATGATGATGATGATGATGATAATGCTGATGACGATGATGGCGATGATTTTGATGATGGTGATGATGATGATGCTGACGCTGATGATGATGGCGTTGATGATGATGATGATGATGATGTTAAGAGGGTGAGAGGAGCAGGAGGAGGGAAGCGAGGAACAGGCGGGGCAGGAGGAAGAGGAGGGCGAGGAGGAGGAGGAGGACCAGGAGGAGGCGGAGGAGCAGGAGGAGGAGAAGGAGGAGGAGGAGGTTGAGGAGGAGTAGGAGGGGGGAAGTGAGGAGCAGGTGGAGGAGAAGGAGGAGGAGGAGAAGCTGCAGCAGCTGTCCTGGAACCGTCTTGGGGGAAATGGGGCCTGAGCTTCGTCGGGAACCTCCTCCTGCTCCTCCTCCTCCTCTGGTCCTCCTCCTCCTCCTCGCTCTCCTCTTCCTCCTGATCCGCCTGTTCCTCACTTCCCTCCTCCTGCTCCTCCTCACCCTCTTAACATCATCATCATCATCATCATCGTCATCATCATCATCATCAGCATCAACGTCAACATCATCATCAACATCATCACCATCATCGTCGTCATCATCATCATCAACATTATCATCATCATCATCATCATCCCCCTCTCCCTCCTCCTCCTCCTCCCCCTCCTCCACCTCCTCCTCCTCCTGCCCCCCTCCGGGAACGCGGTGCTTTGGATGGCGCCCTTGCCGACCGCGTTCCGGCAAGACTCCTCCGGAACGCGATCGGCATCGGGGCGAGGGGGGCGCGAGGAGGGCGACGAGGAGGAGGGGCGCGACGCAGGCGAGGAGGAGGAGGAGGGGGGGGGGAGGAGGGCAGCATCCAGCAGAGGCCCAGGGCTGTTCTGCAGATGGTTCCGCAGGCTGCGCCCTGGAGGGCTCCGGACGCGGAAACCCTGTGAAAACACAAAAAATGATGCAACATCGCTGCTCAAGTGAGGGCTTCGGCTCCGTCGGGCACCCCTGCTGGAGCCGTTTTGCGACCCTCTAGGGGCCCTGTGAGGTTGTCCTGGGGCCAGGTGGAACCTGCGATTGGAACTCATTCCGCGCAGGCTGCGCCCTCGAGGGCTCTGGACGCGGAAACCCGGTAAAAACGCAAGGAAAATGATGCAACATCGCTGCTCAAGTGAAGGCTTCAGCTCCGTCGGGCACCCCTGCTGGAACCGTTTTGGGACCCTCTTGGAGCGCTCTGACATTGTCCTTGGGCCTATTGGAACCATCTGCAGAACCGCCTCGGGCCTCTTTCAGCAGCCCCTGCGGCCTCCGGGGCCCGGGACGCGGAGACCATGTAAAAACGCAGGGAAAATGCGCCCCGGTACCATCATCATCATCATCATCATCAGCAGCATCAGCATCATCATCATCATCATCCTCATCAGCATCATCGTCATCATCATCACCATCGCCATCATCATCATCATCAACGTTATCATCATCATCATGATCATCATCCTCCTCCTCCTCCTCCTCCCCCTCTCCCTCCTCCTCCTCCTCCTCCTCCTCCGCCTCCTCCTCCTCCTGCCCCCCTCCGGGAACGCGGTGCTTTGGATGGCGCCCTTGCCGACCGCGTTCCGGGGAGACTCCTCCGGAACGCGATCGGCATCGGGGCGAATGGTGCAAAATCGCTGCTCAAGTGAGGGCTTCAGCTCCGTCGGGCACACCTGCTGGAGCCGTTTTGGGACCCTCTCCCAGACCCCTTGGAGTCATGATTTTTTCATGACGGCCGCCTGCGCCATGAAAAAAATCACACGTCGCAAAAAAATCAAGACATTGAGAAAAAATCAAGACATGTCGACACATATACACACGTGTATATATATATATATATATATATATATATATATGTGTGCGTACACACACACATATATATATATATATGGCCCGCGCTTTCCATCCGCATGCGTGTGACGCGCGTACGTAGTGCACGATGGCGCGCAGGCCATTCAGCGCCTTTGCCGCCGCCGCTGATGCGCGAGGCGAGCGAGCCCTACTCAAAGATCGAAGGGCGAGAGAGATGAGAGGAAGAAACATGCACCTCTCAACGCTATATATATATATATATATATATATATATACACAAACATACATACATCATGCGCAGGCATGCGTGCACGGAAATGGCACTGCGTGGTGCAACTCGAGGGGGGGGGGTGCTTTTTTGGTCCCAGGATCCTGGGTCGGGGCCAGGGCGGGGAAAAAAACACCCTTGGAACAAAAAAATCCTGGAACAAAAAACGCGCAGGGGAAACCCGAGCACTGCGCGGACGGTCGCCGTTTCCGAGCTAGCGCAAGCGACGGTTATGAACCACGCCGCACGATGATGCGGCCGACCAACTGGGTGGTCTGAGCCGATCGGAGAGAGGTAGAGATCCCGAGTGAGGAAGAGGTGGAGGGGATGGGCGTTATTTCCAAAACGCTGATGGTCACAAATGTCAGTGGCGCTCATCTGTGCGCATCACGTGGCGCTGCATCTTTGGCGACATCCTGGGATCCCCCAGACCCCCGACGTCGTGATTTTTTTCGCAACGTCGACCCCCAGAGGTCTGTCGCTCCCGAGGCCCAGTACTCGTGAGAGCCCCCAAAGGCCGAACATAGCGAAAAAACCTCACGTTGTGATTTGTTCACGACGCCTGGAGGTCCGGGCATCTGGAGGGTCGGCCGATCATGACAGCGGCCGCGAGGAGGAGGTGGAGGAGGATGAGGATTCTTTCCGATGCATAGGGTTGCAATCTCGTACTGAGTCCTCGGGTACTTGTCGCTGCACGAGCGCACTTCCTCGGGATGACGAGGTGGGAGGATGGGTTGGGAGGGTGGGCGGATCGAACCGGATCGAGGGGGGAGGTGGGTGGTTCCAATCGAAGCGTGGGCAAGGAGGGAGAGAGGCGGCCTGCGGGCCTGCAGCTCGCTCCGAGCAGTGCCAGCGCAGCGTGGGCGGCCCCTCTGCATTAATGCAGCGGCCAGCTCCACGTGCTAATTCAAGGGAAAGGGGAGGAAATTGTGATAGGAAGCGTGGATGTGGATGGGCCGCGGGGTGGGTCGCAGGTGGGTCGCGGGGAGGGCCGACTACAACAGCAAACAGCAACAACAACAACAACAACATCAACATCAACATCAACATCAACATCAACAACGCAACAAACATATTGATCACCGCAAATGTTCACTTCAGCCACGCACCCACCCGCCTCTACCCGCCTCTGTTTCCAATGCGCGTGGCGGAAACGAGCGGCGCACCGCGTCTCCACAGGCACGCCCACATGCCGCAGGCACGTCCACATGCCGTGGGCAAAGGGTGGGGGTGGGAAAGGAGAAGGGGATCATACGTGCCCGATGCGGCCACGACCGATCACGGAGGGCGGTTCCCTGAACTCGGGCGATGCTGCTTCGAAAAATCCAAGGAGGGGGGCGGGAGAGAGCAAGAACAGCCAAGTCCAGGCAATCGGCAGCGAGCGGTGGGCCACTACTTTGGACCCGACGCCCGACATGGGTACCGAAAAATGGGTACGATGCCCAACAACAAATGTTCTCCCAAACCAACAGCGGCCGCCGTTGGGCAGGCGGCCTCCTGTCTCGAATGGACACAGGCCGCGGCGGCGTGGACAGCGAGGCCTGTTCAAAATGAACAGGAACTGCTGTTGGGCAGTGCACCCATTCTTTCGGTGCCCATTTCGGGCGTCCAGAACTACAGCGTGGCCTGCGCCGATCGGCGTGCCAGCGTGAGACTGGAGATGGGAACAATGTCGGTGGTGTGCCCTCTCCTCCTCCCCCTCCTCCTCCTCCTCCTCCTCCTCCTCTGGTTGTCCTCCTCCACTTCCTCCTGCGCAATAAAAAAAAAGGGGGGGAGGTGGCGACTGAGCCTAAGGCGCGCCGCCAGCGCGCTCCTGCAAGATGCCCGCGGTCGCGCGGGGCCAGAGATGGATAGAGTGTGTGTGTGTGTGTGTGTGTGTGTGTGTGTGTGCGTGTGTGTGTGTGTGTGTGTGTGTGTGTGCGTGTGTGTGTGTGTGTGTGTGTGTGTGTGTGTGTTTGGGTTTGTTTGTTTGTTTGTGTGTGTGTGTGCGTGCACTGTGCGCGCGGGTGGGGCTGGAGCCGCCGCGCCCGGCCTGGGCCCCGCTCAACGCAGGACGCTCGCCGTCGGCGCCTCGCGAGGAGTGAGGCCGTTAAGGTGGACTGGGGAGGGGGGGGGGAGAAATCCACGCCTTGGGTGCACTTCTGGCGCTGGACATCAGCGCCCCGCCGCGAGTCGATCACCGCCGCCAGGGTCACCGCATCCCGCCGCGAGTCGATCAGCGCCAGGGTCACCGCATCCCGCCGCGAGTCGATCACGGCAAAAATTTTTTGAACCTAGGGAGGCTTGGAAAAAATCACGACGTCGGGGTCTGGGAGGGGGTGCCAGGAAACGGAGGGAGGGGAGCGAGGGAAGGGCTTAAGGAGGATAGGGAGGGAAGGGAGGCAGGGGAGGGAGAGAAGGGAGAGAGAGGGGAGGGACGGACGGATAGGGGAGGGAATGGGAGGGAGGCAGGGAAGGAGAGGGAAGGGATATGGAGGAGAGAAGGAGGAAGGGAGACGGGGAGACGAGACACCGAGCCCCTTAGCCGAGCAACGGCGCCTGAGGGCCAGCGCCCTGCGCCCCTAGGGAAGGAAGCAGGAGGGAGGGAGGGGGGGGGAGGGAAGCAGGCAGGGGGGAGGGGGACGGGGGAAGGGCAGGGAAGGAAGGGAGGGAAGTGGAGGGAGGGAAAGGGCCTGTCCCGAGGCGGGCAAGAACGGATCGTGGGGAACAAATGCGCGCTGCCTGCTTTCCACGCCTCTGCGCGCGGAAGGGGCGTTGGAGTCCCGCGGAAAAAGGGGGAGGGGAGGGGAGGAGGGGGGACTGGCAATGCTCCTCGAGTGCCCCTTCTGCTCTGTCGGCAAGCGAACACGTTTTTCTCAAGCTGGACCAGAGATCACCCCGCCTGTTGTTCAGGCAGGCGTCCCCGCGCAGGCGCCGAAAAGGGAAATCACCATCATCCACATGATCATGATCACCATCATCACCATCATCACAATCATCGTCATCATCATCATCGTAACAATTATTCGTACGGTTCTCCCTCGTGGTACTAGACGTACCCCCAGTGAAACAGATCATCGGATCACCAGGGCGTCGCGAAGACCCTTCCCTTTGCACGGCGGTTCTCATTTTTATGGCGGGATGTCGATAGGGCCCCCCCCAGGAGGGTGGACCTTCTCGAGCATCCTGTCATAAAAAGTAGGACCGCCGTGAAGGGATTTCGCGACCCGCTGCATGTTCCGATTCTCTGCCTCATCGGGGTACGTCCAGTACCACGTTGGATTTCCCTTCTCGGCAACCTGCTTTGCGAGGTGAACCATCACGTGGAACTTAAAGACGCAGTGGCCTCTGTACTCCTTCCATGCCCGCAAGAACGCGAGGCTGGCCGTCTGCAACGAGAAAGGAACGCGCACTCACGCCCAGCCGCGCTAACGAAACCCAAGCCGACTCGAACCGAGACCGAACCGAATCCAGCAAGGACGTGGCATACGAAGGACCGAACCGAATCCAGCAAGAACGTGGCATACGAAGGACCGAGCCGAATCCAGCAAGAACGTGGCATACGAAGGACCGAGCCGAATCCAGCAAGAACGAGGCATATACGAGGGACCGAGACGAATCCAGCAATAACGGGGCATACGAGGGACGGGCCACCAGCAAGATCCAAGTGCCATGGGCCACAGTGCAAGTTCCGAGCTCGTGTCTGGAAGGTGTGCACACTGGACGCGCTCATATTGCGCGCGGCTTTTGGGCCCTGGCAATTGCACACGGTGGCCAGGTGCGCGCAGGCCTGCATCAGCGCCGCTCTGCGCGGACCTAGAAACCCAGCGCCTTCGCGGCAGAGCTGAGGAAGAAGTGGCACGAGGTGCCGCGACTCGGCGGCTTTCGCCTTGAGGCGCGGGATCCCGCCTTCCTGGGACGGCATGAACATCTTCAGAGTCAGCCCCCCTATCACGGACTTGGCCCCCCTTTTCCTGAGCGCGCCCGTGGCAATGTAGAACGCCCGAATTCTTCGGCGGAGGTGAAGGATGTTGTCATGGTCCCGCTGCGCCTTCCTGCCCTTTCTACTCCCGCAGAAATTCGTCGTGACCAGTCTGTGGAACACTGCTGCGATGACGTACTGTGCCACGCCCAGGTCGAGGATGTGCATCCCGTCGGGCATGATGGTATCCACCCCTACTCCTTTGACTTGAAAGAGGGAGCAGATCTGATCAAGGCCCTGGCTGTTGGACGCATTGAAGAACTGTAGTTGTGCTGGCGTCTCCACCGACCGAAGTTCGTGAATGTCAGTGCAGTGCTCGTTTTCGATGAGACGATATCCGACGGGCAGGGCGAACTCGGCATTACGCCGCCCGAACACAGTTAATCCCCCAGCTTTGTTGTCCATCTGCAGAGAGGCGGCCAGACGCCTGAGAGCTGCGTCGTCTGGGACAGCAACCGTACGACGGGAATTGTCTACCACGTGCTGGTACATGAGATTGCCCCGCGAGGCCCATAGATCATCCATCGTTGCTGGAAATTCAAACAGGCTTGCCTTTGGACAGGTGCACGAGAAGCAAGGGTTCCTTGGGTTCTGCCACGTTTCGAATCCATAAGCTCCCGTGACCTCTAAGAGGTCCGCTCTGATTTCGCAGAGGGCCCCCCGCCACCCCTCTGCGAGGGGAATCCGCGCTTCAGGGATCTACTCTCAGGCAGGGGCTTCCCGTCGTGGTCGAATGCTGGATATGTGCCCTCTGCTAAAGCATTGTAGCTCCAGCGGAGCACCCGCTGGATGAGGCCAAAACTACAATTTCCTTTGCACCCGCATTTGCAGACGTCCTGCTTCCGAATCGTGCATATGAGGTGCCTCTTCCTGGAGAGACCACTGCTCATATAGTAGCAAAAGAAGCTGTCCCTCTTCGCCCACGGAACACCATCGGAGAAGTGACCCAAGGGTGTGGTTCTCGTGGGGGCCTCTTTCACCACCTCGTGACTCTCGAAGTTCAGGGGCAGCACGCCGGCGTCGTAGTTCAGTGGGTCCCATGCTGCTGGGTTCTCATGCCACGAGTTCGCGAAAATATCGTGCGGCAGATAAAACGGGAAAGCAATATATTCTCTGCTGTCGGTTGCTTTGTCCCAACAAGGCATCTGAACGTGGTAGAAGTCTTTGTGTGCCGTCTCTAGGCCCAGCGCGCGTCTCACATGCTCCGACGCGCGCGCGCTCTGACCAGGACCCAGCGCGAGATCTCCGATCCCAGTGGCCCCAGCCCGAAACGAGTGAAAGGATATCGTTGTCACGTCCACGGCCGAAAGGGACCCCGCCCTGTACCTGTCCACCAAGTACTTCCGAAGACCAGCGCCCCCATCCCCGCCATCTCCTCCGAAGCCTCCTGACTCGACTCCTGGGCCGCCCCTTAGGGGCAGCGGGCCTGACTCAACTCCTTCGGGGCGAGAGCCGCCTCCTGCCACGATTCTCGCTGCCTCCGCTCTTCCCGACATGGCAATGGCGAGTCCGAGGTGCAGCGCGGTCAGCGGGGAAAAGATACCCATCTTGACAGAAATCGTGCTACGTACCCCGTTCCTGCCCATGATCAAGGCCAGAAAAAAAAAAAAACGCCCCTATCCTGGTTTACGAGGCGTTGTGCGCTGAAACTCCCGCGGGCTGACGGGGTAAATCCTGTGCGATGCGCCGCGCCCTGGCGGCTCTCGGCCCTGGGGCTTCCCAGGAGGTTTACAGACCACGCACTCGTAACCCAGGGTAGGGCCGCTTTTTCATCCCTCAACATGTCCCCCTCCCCGTCCTCACATGCACGACCGCAATGCCTGCCGTGCGCGGATGCACAAGGGGCCGAACAAATGAACGGATCTTCGCTATCATCGTGCTGGTCCATCCTGATCCTGATCCTTGCTAGCATTATGCTCATCCGAATCTTTAGGCTTATCCTCATCCTCGCTATCCTTATTTTTATCTTCATCATCGCTATCATTATCTCTATCCTCTACCTCCTCGTCCTCACCATCCTTAGCCTCATCCCCCCTATCCTTATCCTCATATCCAACGGCAACCCGAATCTATGACCCATGTAAGCCGAATCCTCTCGATATCGTCTTGCCTTCTTCTCCTCCTCCTTCTCCCTCTCCCTCCCTCCCTCAGGAACTCCCTGGATCAGCCCCCCGTCAAGGGAGAATTCTGGTGCCAACCAGTTTTCCTCGAACCCCCTGCCGAGGGGGGGTCCAGAGCCAACGCGGGCAAAGCTCGCTGTTTCACCGCGCGAGCGCTCCCCCACGCGCGCTCAATAGCACGTCCTTGTCGCAAGGCACCGCCCACTCGCGAATCGCAGGCGCTGCTGATACAAGAAAACCACTCCACTCACAACCTGATCATGGTGCTCCTCGCCGGATGAGGCTCATCCCGTCCTCATCTTCCTCCCCCTCATCCCCCTGCCCTCCTCAGCATGCTGGGAACGAGGAGGAGGAGGACGACGACGACGACGACGAGGGCGAGTACTTTAGCCCCTCGAGGGCCGACGGAGCGAGTACTTTAGCCCTCCGAGGGCCGAGGACGACGACGACGACGAGGGCGAGTACTTTAGCCCTCCGAGGGCCGAGGGCGACGACAACGACAGGGCCGACGGGGCGAGTACTTTAGCCCCTCGAGGGCCGACGGGGCGAGTACTTTAGCCCCTCGAGGGCCTGGAGCAGGAGCGACCTCGAGGATCCCCAGCCCTACAGTCCAGTCGAGAGCCCCAGCTCCCTACGCCGACTTCTTGATGTTTTTCATGGCGGCCTCCATCTGGTCCATGATGGGCCTGATGTTGGACCACGCGCGCTCCCCCTGGGCGGCGGGCAGCGCCGCTCCCCCTCCATCTACCCCTCATCTCCTCATGTTGCCAATCCCTCTACTCCTCCAGCTTATTCCCTCCCGCTTTTCACTACCCTCTTCATCTATATATTGAATTATATGTCCTTCCTCGGCCTTCCTGCCCCTATCCCCCTATATCCTGCTCCCAACTCTCCAGCCACCCCTTTGCCTCTAACACCTCCTATCCTCCCGTCCTCATGTCCTCCCTTCCTCATTCATTACATGCATCCTTCAATCATCGGGACGAGGCGCCTCCTCGATCGCGTCCTTGGCACTGCTGGCGATGTCCTCCGCGTTCTCCGCGGACCTCAGAGCCATGCTTTGCATGCCTCCTCATCGTTATTATTATCCTCCCCCTGCTCCCCCTCCCCCCTCCCCATCTCTCCTCCTCCTCCTATCTCCTCCTCCTACCTTCTCATTATCCTCCTGTCCTGCTTATCCTGCTTCTCCTCCTCCTCCTGTGTCCGATCATGTCGACCCTTCCCTCTCGAGCTGGAAGTCGGACGCTCCCTGGAAGAATGCTTTCAACGCGACCTGGCTCTCGGTGAGATCGAACACTGCCGAGGTCAGCTCCTTCTCGAAGGGCTTCAACCACTCGCAACCCTTCGCCTGCGAAGGATGAGGAGGAGGGGGAGGGGGGGCAGGAGCAGGAGCACGGGGAAGAGAAGGAGAAAGAGGCGGAAGAGGAGGGGCCAGAGGAAAAAGGCTCTAACCAAATCGGGAGGAGCAGGGGGAGGAAGAGGAGGGAGAGGAGACACTGATATCCTAGAGTTCCTCCCGTCCTCGATCAGGATCCCCCCCCCCCCCCTCTCGAGACTGTTGAGGGGGCAAGGCGGGTGTTCTCCTCCCCCGTAACCTCCCCAACCCTTCTCCTCCTTCCCCCGCAACCTTCCCACCCACCCCCACCCACCCCCGCTCCATTCCGCAACCGAGGGAGGAAAACTCCCGAAAGCCGTCACCTGCAAACCCTCCAGGGCCGTCAAGACAGTCGTGTTCTTCCCCAGGAGCGTGGCGATCTCGCCGTGCAGCGCTGCGTCGACAGTCCTCGACCCAGCGCTGCACCCGCCAGACTGCTTCGCCGACTTGTGCGTCTTGTGGTCCGAGCCCTCGTCGGAATTGGAGATCTTACGTGTAGTTTGCAATGTCATCTTCCTGTTCCTTCTCCTCCTTCTC